TTGCCCTCGGGGTTGCGCTCTCCTCGGCGCTCGGCGGCACCAGCGGCCACCCTCGCCCTGGCGTAGAAAGGCCAGCACGTCCATCGTCAGCTCAGCTCGTGAAACGATCGCGCCAAGCGACGCTTCGTATCTTCGAACACCTAGAATTCGAACACGCTGCCCATGACGCTGCGGTAACTCACGTTGGGATTGGCTATGTCCACAATGGCCGCCAACGCCAGCTCCAGCGCCGCACTTGTCATCTCTCTCGCCCATGGTGTCGTGCCAGACCACCGCCAGCAGCGCCGAGGTGCGAGTCGGGCGACCGCTCCTCTTGCTCTACTGCTTCGTCGGCGTCATGGCAACCTTCACGCTCAACGGCTTCCTCCTTGAGAAGCTCACCAAGGCGCACGACGTGGGCGAAATGACGCTCACGTTTGTGAGCTGCGCGTGGTACGCCGTGGTCGCCCACGTCCTTCGCGTCGTCATGCGCGAGCCGACGTCGTCGGTGCCCATCAAGCAGTACGTGGGCCTCTCGCTGCTCACGTTCGTCTCGACAATCGCGTCCATCTACGCGCTGCGGTATGTCTCGTTCATCACGCGCATCCTTGGCAAATCGTGCAAGTCGATCCCCGTCATGCTTCTCGGCGCGCTCCTCGGGCAGCGCTACCAGATGAAAAAAGTCATTTCGGTGCTTCTGCTCTCGGTCGGCGTCGCCATCTTCCTCGTTGGCACGTACGCCCAAAAGATTGCCAACCACGAGCACGACGAGAAGACGGCGACCGACATGAGCATCGGCTGTGTCCTCCTCTTGCTCTCGCTCCTCTGCGACGGCGCGACCGGTGCCGTCGAGGACAAGCTCATTGCTGCGTACGACATTCATGCGTTCGAGCTCATGTTCTACCTCAGCCTCTTCAAGGCGGGCATGGCGCTCCTCGGGATGCTGGTCACGGGCGAGATGCAGACTGTCATGGCGACGGCGTGGCCGCACCTCGGCGGGCTCACGCTCTTGAGCCTCACGGGCGCGTCGGGCCAAGCGGTGCTCTTTGTGACGCTGCGCAACTTTGGCGCGCTCACAACGTCCATCATCGGCACGCTGCGCAAGGTCGTGAGCATTGTCCTATCGGTGATCCTCTTCCGCCACGCGCTCGAGACGCAGCAGCTCCTCGGGCTCGTCATCGCGTTTGGCGCGATTGGCCTCAACTGGCTGCCGACGCACCGAGCATCATCGCATGTACCGACGTCCACCGACGACGAAGCCGAGGTGACGCTTTTGCGCAAGGATACGAGTGGCGACGACGACCGAGAGACCGAGAGCAGCAGCTCGGGCGACGAGGGTGTTGACGACGAAGAGTCGTGCTCGACCGCACAGAGCAAACAGCTCGACGCAGTCGTCGAGTGGGAAAAGACTTCGAGTGTCATCACCGTCGCCTAAGATCGTAGTGCTCCGACTAGTCACGACTAGTAGTATATATAAAAGGCGAATCACGACGTTGCGGCTGCTTTCGCCTTGGCTTCGAGCTTCTTTTGCGCCTCAAAGGCCGCGATCTTCTCTTTGATCTCCTTGGCTTCAATGTCGGCCTCCATGAGCAACTTCTTGGTCAGCGCGAGCTCCTGCGCGAGCGTCGCCTGCGCGTCCGTGAGCAGCTGCAAGTCGTGGATCTCGTTGTAGACGGGCCAGTGCTCTTGAAGCGCGTTCGGCGGCGCTTGCTTCTCGGGCCCTACAAGCGCGTTGATGTGAGTGACGTGGCTTGCATCATTATGCGTGGACCCGCCATGAGCTTCTTGTACATGAGCTCACTCGGCTCGTTGAAGACGAGCTCGTCGTAAAACTCCGAGACGACCGGCTACGACGCATGTTCATTGCAAGAGCGAGCGCATGACAAAGTACCTTCTTTGTCGACGCGATCTGGTTGCCCGGCGGGTACAGAATGAGCATGTGGATGATGTCGACGGGCTTCTCGTCCGGGTCCTGAAAGTGGATTTGGATCTTGGTCTCAAACTCGCCCCAGCCATACTCTGAGACCTCGTACGGCGGCTCCGTGAGCACTATACATCGCGACATGAGGCCATGGCCGGCGAAGAGCGTCAGTTGTACCGCGCACGGGGTTGGCGAAGCTGTTGTGGAGGCTAATGACAACCTTGCTGATCATGTACGAGAGGTCTTCGCCGGCGAGGCCGCGCACGTAGATGTGCCAGCGGTGCGTCTTGGTCTCCTCCGACTTGCGCCCGAGGTACATGGCCACGGAGCCGTACGCGATGGCCTTGCTCACGACGACGCCCTTCTGCCGCTCGTGGGACATGGTGCAAATCTCGAAGAATGACCGAGGTGGGCGATTAAATTCGCATTTTGGCCAATCAGAAGACATATTCAAGGCCCAGCATGCCACCACGGAAGCGAAAGGCCAGCACCCGGTCAAGCTCGGCGTCGAGCCGCGAGTCCGTGTCCAAGCGACGTAGCCGTACGCGCCATGCTCATCGCATCGCGATGACTCATGCTGCTGCCTAGGAAGCGCGTCCATCTCGTCGGCGGCAAGCAGCGACCACGGCAACCAGACCGTCTCCGAGTTCTTGACGACGAACCTCGACGAAGCGATTGCAGTAGACCTCGATCGACGCGCGGCCATAGCTTACATCTCGATGGGTTTGTAGAAAGTTGAGGCGCATGGGAAGAAGACGATCGCCAAGTTCCGCAAGGAGGCCAAGAAGGCCCGCGAGAACCTGGAAGCCTCCGTCGACCTGACCGTGCCCGATGACGACGCAGGTGATACTCGCTGGCTGCTCGACATGCAACGTCTCACGCCATGGCACTAGTCGACGACGACGAAGCCAAGAAGGCCCCACCGCGGCGCTACAACGTGACGGTGCAGTGCACAGAGGGGTTCTACAAGAACCAGCAGTTCAAGCTGCTCCTGGCCTTGGTTCGGCGCGTCACGTCGAGCTCCTGCTCATCCGAAACGTAGGACACGAACCCTGTCATTCACATTGGACGGTCGTCTGGGAAAAAGTACAAGCTGCCCCACGGGCTCAGCTTGCCGAAAGACCCGGAAGTCTCGACGACCCACGCCGAGGTACGACGTCGCAGTAGGCTGATGGGCCAATGGCCTCTATGCTAGCTGCGGCTTGGAGACGACGGCAAGGTCTACATCACCGACGTCAACAGCACCAACGGCACGAGTGTCAACGACAACCCGATCAAGCCGCACAAGCCCATGGCGCTGCTCTTGACGGCGCCGACGCACGTCTCGATCGGCAGCAGCGAGCTCACGCTCACGTTTGCGCAGCCGTGAGGAGAATAACCCAAAATCATCATCATCATATTATCTACGGAGGCTGCTCCTCGGTCCATACACTACTCTAATCCGAGTCCGAGTCGTCGCCCAAGACGTTGAAGTTGTTGACGACCTTGGTCGACGCCGCCGTCGGCTTGAACACGGCCGCCTACACCACATATATGATGAGCACATGGGCAGAGCGATGCAGCAAGGGACCTTGGCAGGCTGCTTCTTGGCTTCCGTCTTCTTGGCCGGCTTGGGCTTGGCCTCGACAGCGGCGGCAGCGCCACCGCGGACCCAGTCGCCGTCCGAGCGCGTCGCGGCGGCGGGCTTGTTGTCGCCACGACCGGCCGGCTTGTCGCCACGACCACCCGCGCGCGGCTCACCGCGGCCGCCACGGCCACCACGGGCGCTGTCGCGATCGTCGTGGACCTTGGGCTTCTCGGCTTCGGCCTTCTTGCGCTCAAGGTACTTGGATTCGTCACGGGGCTTGGCGTCGCCAAAGATGTTGGCGCGCTGCCCCGCCTCCTTGGCCTCGTTCGACTGCGTGCGCGGGAGAAGCGAGAGCTTCGGGCGCTCCTTGGGCTCCTCGCGACGGTCGTCGCGACGGTCGCCACCACGACCCCCATAACGGTCGCCGCCGTCGCGCTGGCCGTAGCGGTCACCGCCATCACGCTGACCGTAGCGGTCGCCGCCGTCACGGCCACCATCACGACCACCATAGCGATCGCCGCCGAAGCGATCGTCGCGGGTCGGGCGGTCAAAGCCGCGGTCGCCACCGCGGTTGCCGAACGAGGTATCGCGGCCCTTCTTCTCGCTGGCGACGTCGATACGGATCGGGCGGTTGTCAATCATCTAATCCGCACGATCATCATGAGCATCTGCTGCATACAGACGACAACGACGGTAAGTACCTCGCCGTTGGCCGAGAGCGCGTCCTCGAGCGACTTGCGGTCGCCAAACGTGACGTAGGCAAAACCCTTGGGGCGGCCCGTCTCGCGGTCCGAGACCACATGCACGTCCGTGACGGCAAGGCCTTGGAAGAACTCGGCAATGTCATCGGCGTTCATCAGGTAAGGCAAGTTGCCCACGTAGCACTACCAGCGCCATGAGCAAAGCTCCAAGAGGGTGTTGCGTGAGTACCTTGAACGGGCCATACTCCGGGATGGGCTGCGGCTCGCGCTTCTGGTACTCGCCGCTGTCGCGGCGCGGGCGGCGCTCTTCTTCCTGGTAGCGGCGGGGCTCGGGCTCGGCGTGGTGGCGCTCCTCTTCTTCGATGACGTGCTCCGTGCGGCGGGCAGGCCTACGCAGCGCTCAGTGGACGTGGCCATAGGCAGCAGCGTCGTACGCAGCCTGGAAGGTCGAGTGCTCCTCGGCCTCGTCGTCGGCCCACGAGGTGGCCCCAAAGCTGGCGAAGTTGCTCATCTTGTCTGTGCTGGAAGTTGTATTGGCGGTCGAGCGTCCACCAAACAAAGTCTGAGCTGAAAACCTCTAGCATTTAATACGCGGGTGGCGCCCGTCGAGCATTATAATTTGATTAAGCTTGACAATTGTATATGGATTTGCCTATTCTGCATTAAAATGGAGATTCCCAGTGGCCACACAGCGTGTCACGTTGAGCCAATCGGAAGTCGTTTCCTGTGAAAACGCATATTTGCATCTTGGTTGAAGCGCATCACACATGGCAGCGGCGAGGTGCTTGGACGCTCCCGCCACCAAGTGTCCGCGAACGCATGCGAGAACAACTAAAATGAAATGACTAGATTACGACGTAAATATGCATTGTCATTGTCGCTAGGACGCGCAGGCTGCCGTGCTACTTGCGGCGGGACAGAACAATCTTGCGCTTCGTAGGCGTCTTGGCGCGAGTTGGCGTTGGTGTTGGCGTTGGCGTTGGTGTTGGCGTTGGTGTTGGAGTCCGTGCTGGCATAGGCGTTGGCGTCCGTGCTGGCATAGGCGTTGGCGTCCGTGCTGGCATAGGCGTCGGCGTCCGTGCTGGCATCGTGCCCGGCGGCGATTGCATCTCGACGTCCTGAGCTGCGTTGGCAGTGGGAGCTCCTTGGAAACCTTGGGGCGCGTAGCGAACGGAGCCGCGGCCCGGCGGCGCCGCGTGCTGCTGCGAGGCCGGGCTAGGATATCGGGCGAGAAGCTCTTGGATAGACATGCCGCGAAATTCGTGTGGGGGCGCGAGACCAGTCAACGACGGCTGAAAGCTCGGGTTGGCCTGCATGACCGGGCTCTGCAATTGTTGCGCTTGCAAAAACTGAGGCGTCAAGCCAACTGGCGTCGTCGTAGGCGTCGAGGGAGCTGAGGTTGGTGCTTGGTGACCAACGACCGCCGGGCTTGTTTGCGAGGCCGCCGGGATGCGGGAGGTTGTCATCGACCCAACGGGGCTCTGCGCGACCCCTTGGACGGGGCTCGCCACCCCAGCGCGATACTTGAGCTTGACGGTCTTGGCATGGGCGTCGTCGAGATCGACGCGGGCTTGGATGAGCTCCACGTCCTTGTTCTCGCTGGCTTTCTCGGCCGTGAGCGCACGCGTCTGCCACTCGCGCAGCTTAACGCGGAGCTGCGGGCACTCCTGGCAGAGTGCATGTTCATCTGGTCCGTCCATGGTGTTCTTGTGTGCCTTCTCGAGCTGCGTCCGGAGCTCTCGTTCCAGTTGACGCTCGTGCTCGCGCTCTTGACGGTCGCGCTCGCGCTCTTGACGGGCCCGCTCGCGCTCGTGCTCGCGCTCCTGCTCGCGGCCCGCGCGTTCCTTGCGAATCTTTTCCTTGAGGCCAACAATCTTGGCCTTGAGAGCTTCAATAATCGCTGCGTCGTCGGCGCGCCGTCCGTCCTGCTGCTCGAGATTGGCCTCGCTGGCGGCCAGGCGCGCCTCGAGGTAGCGGATGCAATTTTCATCGACGATGTCGAGCGTCTCGTCGACCGCGGGCGGCGCCGCCTCTTCCTCTTCT